GATGAATAAAGTAGGGATTCTGACGATGGCCGAGAATAAGGTAGGGATTTTGACTACTCCCACCACTCATTGGACGGGAAGCTCAGGGATTGGGTTCGCACCCTCTTGACGAACCCTCAAAGCGCTTCGAATGTGGAGCGTTCCTTCTCCGCCAGTGGGTTCTCCCCGCCTCTTGCCGCCGATTTGGATTTTAGGGTTTCCAGTTGTTCGAAGGTCAACGAGAAGGACTTGTAGACCATGAGATCTTCTTCTTCTTTTGGGTATTTGAATTTGAGTTCAATTCCTAATAGACGTGGTCGATTTGGGCATTATTGTGTGACTTGAGGATGGTTCTGTCGAAGAACGGTGAGACTGAGAGCAGAGGCTTCTGGCGATAGCTCCCCATTCGTTCACGAGGTCAAACTTTGGACTTTTGCCACGTCATAAAAAATATCCAACTCAGCAGTAGATTTGCCACGTCAGAGTCAACTAACAGTTGACCAGACAAAAAGTTAACGGTTTAGCTATTAAGTTGTTTTTGAAAAGGTTTGGTTATTATTTTGTTTAAAAGAAAAGGTTTGGCTATTAAATTGTATTTACCCTAAAATTAATTTATTATACTATAAACGAATTCTAATTGCAATAAAGACCTAATCGGATCTCTTTGTTCCTTATGTCTATTCGAATTTTTCCCAACAACCTTTTAATTGTCTAGCGACAGCGACAAATTCCACTAGTTTTGATTCTACGAATTACAATTGCAAATGTAAAAAGAGCATTTTTCAGCTTTGAGTTATATTAAGAACAAGTTTCCAAGTCGATTTGACGACCAATTTGCTAATGCTAATTTAGTGAGATACATTGAAAAAGACTTATTTAATAGTGTAGACGACGAATGTTTTTGCGTTTCTTTCACAATATGAAATCTCTCCGTGGTTATTAAAGATAATGATTGTATAGTCGGTTATTTTTTATCTATGAATGCATTATGCAGATATAATTAATTTTAATCATTTTTATTAAATTATTTTTAATTAAATATTTATGTATTTATATTATGAAAAGAGGACATGAGTGGTTTGAAATGCTGGCTCTGGCACTGGCTGCAGTTCCCACAATTCCTTCTTCTGCAGGTTCTCGGCCACATTGTCATGCTATGTTTGTTGCTGCAATAAAGGTAGAATCAGACGGGGTTGCGGATTTTGTGTTGCTTGATGATTTTTGGGGGGGGGGGGGGGGCTGCAAGTGGCGAAAGTACACCATTATACTGGGATTGAAGATCCGTACATCCTAGAGACATTGGCTTTGCGCGACTGTCTACAGGAATGTGTGTGACGCAGGTTCAGCAATGTGATTATAGGTGGTGATGCAAAGATTGTTATTGATAAATGTCGTAACAAGGACACTCCAGACTCCAAGATAGGAGCTTTACTACAAGAGATTCTATCACTGCTTAGAGATCTAGGGGATTCAAAGGTGCTTTTCGTTGGTCGTAACTTCAACAGGGTGGCTCATTCCGTGGCCAGACGTGCTCTGTATTTATCGCCCCGCTCTGAAAGGAGGTTTGATTATGTAGCTTGGTACAATAGTAGATAGCTTCTTTGTAAACTTGGATTGGTTCTATATCCTCTTTTTATGAGTGATCGTTTGGCGGAAAAAAAAAACTATATGATCTAGAATAATAGAATATACATGTACTACATGGACAGTGTAGGCACTTTAATTTTTGAAAGTAATGATTGTTATCATTGTACACCAAACAAAAGCCACTGAGATCATACAGACTCTAACAAAATACCCAGAGTAGGCAAAAGGAAAAAACCATCAGGAACCATATAGAGCAAAACAAGCAGGTTCAATTACAACAAGCTTGATAACCATCCTGGTAACAGAGTACCATTAGCCATTCGACGGTTAATAACATAAGCTTCTTTGATCTCATGCCGCCTACGATGAACAACCACAACACCCTCCAAACCTTCAAAAGAAGAAAGAATTGAGGCAATCATAGTTGCACAACTTAACGACCATTCATCTGCATCCTTCCTCAGGGCTTCACCACACTCAAACAATCCGACACGATCAGAGTTGAGCATGGTTCGTGAGCAGCTATGCGCGTCGCTTCAAGTATGGCATAGGCTTCGACAGCCTCAAGTGCTCGACAATGTATCTTCTCCGCCTTACCATCATATACCTTCCCCAGTGCATTCTTCACAATGACAACAATGCCCGCCTGCTGGGGAGCAATACCACAACCTTTGCTCAAGTTTTGGAGGTTCAACTTCAGCTAAAGTTTATTTTGCTCATTGATAATCGCCCATGACTGACTAATTTCACTGTAGTGCCTGAATTATTATTATTCTGTGCCTTGATTGTTCAGATAGCAGTCGCATGACACAAGAACTCGTGACAATGTGAAAAACAAAAAAAAAACTTTTACTGACTAGCTTTAGCTAATCAACTTTCAGTTCATGCGGATGGCCTCAGTAAGCAATATATGCAGGTATTCAACCTCTATTCGACTTCAAATTCCATCATCAACAATACAAAGAATACTATCATCGAGAAAGGCACCAACCATCTTCTTCATCTCCTACACTCCGAGTAATCACCTTTGATCTCTCATCCTTCAGGAATCCTAGAAGTAGAAATGCAAGTTACCATCTTCTTCATCTCCTACTATGGGCCATTAGTACACAACTCGCTCTATGATACCACTGTAGTCAACTCTGCAAATTATTGTGCCGCAGGAATTATCTATGTATATTATTCTTCCACAGACATTGTATATCTGCTAGTCAGACACGATGACATCTAAGAGCTATAATTGAGACAACTTGTTATTGCGGGTGTATACACTATCGTTTCAAAACTAACTCCAAGAGTAATCAAACTGCAATTACCTCGTACAGGTGCCTGGATTATTGTTGGGGCCTGCTTGGCCCCGGTTTAAGTCTCCCCAGAAGCTGAACCCCTCGCATTGACGCATTCTGCCAAAAGAAGTGGAGTAGCATTGGTTCCATATGTCCATTTCAAAATAATTCCACAAGGGATGGAGCACAAGAAACAATGCAAGAAAGTAACAACCACATCCTAGATAGCATATTAAGCTAGAACTCAATTGCTTTTCTCCTTCGAACAAAACACACGCCGATCTTGACAATAATACATTATGAGTATCCAGAAACAGAAGTATATGATCCAACTTCTTTGCAGGAAGCACATCCATCAAATGGGGCAATAAAGAAGGCAAATTGACAGAGAGATGAATAAAAAGCCTAACATCAATTGTTCAAACAAACATAGACTCTAGACACTCCAGTCTTCCATTTCGTAGCTTTAAATTACCAATTTGAGAAGTAAGTAAGTTAAAGAGATTGATCTCCAGGAAAATTACAGTGAAAAAGAAACACAAGTGAAAGACGGTGTTCTTACCCATGGTAGGAAACAATGCATTGAATAGCTATTAAAACAGACAATAGAGGCAAAACCAGCTTTGCATCTTTCAGAATGAAGGGTGCTAGAATAGATTGATACAAAGGACTAGACTTCTTGAGCTTGTTTCTCCCTATCATCGCAGGAGCATGCTTTTTTTCTTCTATTCAGGTCAATAAGAGAGCTCAAATTTCCAAAACCAATGAAACTGGCTAGGAAACACCAAATAGAAGATTCAAACCCATTCCCCACCAAGGAATCAAAATTCTTAAATATACTCATAATTAGGAAGGCAAAAATAAGGGAATAGTTCACCAAAGTTATAAAGAAAGTTTTATGATCTCACCAGAGCATCGGAGCATAAGATAACACAAAATTGTAAAGAAACTTTCTTCATAACGGGGAAATGTGGTGCTGCCCATTCGGATTGGACCATGACAATACAAAATTATGTTTTCATCAATCCATTCTTATTCTAGCCACCAAACTTGCTCCAACCAACTAAATCTAGCATTTTCATTAATTCAATCTCAAAGGGCAGCAATTATCTAACGAATCCTAACCCGCAATTACCTTCGCCATAGCTCAAACTCTTGCTATCAAAAGAAATCAAGATCCCAAGGGGAACAACGTCTAGTCAGCTCATTTGTCAAGAATGAGGCAATTGCAAAGTTCGCTCCCTAAACCCAGACTAACCTACATCCGTAGATTGATGGAAATCTCAACAGCCAAGAACGCGGGGGAAAAAAATGAAACTTGATCAGAACATATTAACGAGGAGTACAATCAGAAAAGTAGCAGGGGGAGGCACTTTCGGTTCCCGAAACCGTTTCGTTAGCGGACCGGACGGCGGATTCTGGATCGAACCCGAGACTCATTCCGCTGCCTTAATTTCATCGTTGGCGTTTCTGGAAGAGGCGTAAGAGTTCCAGTCGGCCAAGAGAGACGATGATTTCTTCTGCTGCTGTGGCAGCTATTGGTCTTCGATAACGGTACCTAAGAAACACAATGCACCATTTTCTGCGTTGCGCTCTGAGAGAACTGAAATCGGCCGACGTTTCGGTTTGGAGGTAGGCAAACGCCCGACGGAAACGGGATACTCCCACAAAGAGAAAAAACAGATACAAGAAACGGGGAAAACGAAAAACGTTTTGGATCGTTTTGACAAATATCGAAAACGCCGCTTCTTTGATTAATTGAAGGCCCAAAGAGAACAAAAATGACGACGTCGTTTTCCGGGGCGTAGGCGTACGCCCGGGGAAAACATGGGCTTCAGTCAAACGAAGGCCCAAGAAGCTTCTTCTCTTTTCAACTGAAGTCCCAGAGAACTGAAATTGGCCGACGTTTCGGTTTGGAGATGGGCAGACGCTCGGCAGAAACGGGAAACTCCCGCAAAGCGAAAGAACGGGTACCAGAAACGGACGAAACGTGAAACGTTTCGGATCCACAAAACCAAAATCGAAACGCGATAAATTGACGAGAAATTGAAATTGACGAGATATCGCGATATGTTAAAATATCGCGATATTTTCACGATATATTGACTTTTTGCGATATATTGACCGGATGCTGAATTGGCCCCTCGCGTAGCAAGAAAAAGAATGAGAAACGATCGCATAAAAACGCGGGGAAACAACAGAAACCATATTCCGTTCATGAACTGCGCCAAAATTACGGCATCCAATTGCGATTTCGATTTCGATTTGGGTCTGGTGGCCGAAATTCCGACATCCAATTGCAAATTTGGGAGAATCGAGGCTGCAGGATGCCATCGGGTTTCTGGTTCTTGTAGACGTAGAGGAGCAGTGTTGCTGCTGCTGCTGCATTCCGTACAAATCTGCCTTGCCACGCCACCATCGCCCGCTGCCTGAATTCAGGCTCAGCCTTTCCTCGTACTTCCCGACCTGCTTTCTACCGGAAGCATTGTTTGATCGGGAGTTGGAATTCGCTTTTTGTATAGACAAACAAGGAGGATCTTCGAACGGAAAAGGATTGGTCGGGAGTTTCTTACTTTTGAGTTTTGAGGGAGTGAATTCCTCTTCTTCAACGGGGAAGAGAAAAGAGCGACGCCTAGCCGCTTTGAAATTTGAACAACACCGGCCTTCGCGTTAAACTTCGATCTCCTCGGGTAACCCTCGGGTACCACACTCGCTCCCTGTTCTTTTCAACTTAGGCTTCTGTCCCTAAAAGCCCTAGCCCCTAAATTATACGCTGGCGATTAGTTTGAACTATCTTTTTGACTTTATTTAGCACTTAGCAGCTTGACGGTGTCATGTTTGGAATTCCGCCTTTGTTATGATGTTATCTGTAGATGCATTTTGTGGTTAAGTTTAGAGGGTCGGATTTGGCTGTCGACTTCCATTGCATTATATGTATTCCCTAGATCTGTTCGACTACTGTTTAGGAATTCATCTGGTTAAATTGATTTCGCATGGAAGTTTTACTATAATTGTATTGAAATACATTTCAGGAGATTTGGGTGGCTCATCTGTAGACGATGAAGTAGTTGGAGGAGGGGTAGTGATCCAACAATGCATGGAACCGTTTTCATTCTAAACTGGCATCCGTCATCGTGCAAGATCTCAAAGTGATCTCATAATTCATATAAATTTACCCGTATCTACTTGATTAGAGATAGGGGGTGGCCATACGGTTCGGTAAAATCGAACCTAACCGAACCGAATGTAAACCGAACCGAAACCAAATTAATGTTATTCGGTTCGGAATTCGGAAGAGAAAAGGAGCATATTTCGGAAATTAGGGTCCTTTCGACCGAACCGAATTTCCGAATTCCGAACCGAAAAACCGAATTATTATAATCGCAAGCTTTAAATGGTGGATTTTTATGTTTCTACTTATTATGAGACTTAAATACTTGAATCATGTTAGTGTTTTATGACTTATGTGTTGAAATGTTTGATTTTATCATTGATGATGCATATTTATTGTTCACATTATGGGTGAAAAATAATTTTAAAAAGAGAAGATACAAGCTTACCTCACTATTTCGGTTTTGTATGGAAAACCGAACCGAACCGAATTATAATTCGGTTTGAACCGACCGAATAGAATTATAATTCGGTTCGAGGTTTGCTAGAATTCGGGGACCCGGTATGCATAATTTCGGTTCGGTTTGAACCGAACCGACCGAATGCCCACCCCTAATTAGAGATGAACACTAGAGTTTTAAATAAACGTGATAAGCTTTACTTTTTGACAGATTAGTAAAGTATGGTACATGAATTTGAGTTGGATTTTTTTGTTATGAACAAATAGATGATCCAATTATACTAGTGCAACATAGATTAAACTAAGGCCCAAAGTCAATTTCTTTTACGTCTTTAGCTAAACGTAGTCAGTGGATTCTCAGGGCGAATTAGGGGGCAGGTGCCCCCAAGATCGAGCAGATCCACATCGCTCTTGAGGTACAACTTCAAATGGTGGCCATGAACTCGGCGATTGTGGCCATCAGTACATGATAACTTGACCTGGCCATCCGGCAGGATGCAAGCGAGTGAATACTCGGATGGCCAGGGTGGCCGTGGCTCAGAATGGCCTCCAGCTTTCTTCTTGGTTGCTTTAGGGGCCTGAACCGTTCGCCGCCACTCCTCCTTGTGATTTCTTGGGTTCGGCAGGGGTTGACCAAGGAGCGCTCCAACCGGTCAGGAAGCAAGGACATCTGGCAGTTGCCCGATTTTCGTGTTCATATCCTGCAGCAGTGCCTGCTGGTTTCTGTGACTAGCCTCTAGTTCATTGAATTTCTCGATAGTGAAATCCATAAACTGGTCTACCTTGGCAAACTTTTGAGTACTGGTACTCACAAAAGTCGTCACCAGCTCTTGCAGCTTGGTTATCTGGTCACCCTGTGCTGGTGGTCCTGTCGGCTGTTGTACCTGTCGCTGCTATGAAACCGAGAGGCTTGGCGGTGCTGTTGTTGCCACTTCAGGAGAAATTGAGATTGGCGCCACCCCTCATTATAGGTGCCACTGTAGGGGTCAAGGCGCCTAGCATTGGCGATGAAGTCCAACTGCTCCTGGGGTATGGAGGGCTCGCATAGCCTGGCAATCATCCACCAAGTGGTTCGAACTCTCACACCACTGACACTGTGCTATAGAAGGTGCGGCCATGCCTCGGCCTGGTATGACCATATGAGGCTGTTAGGCTGCTTCAATGTCTGAACCAGCTCTGCCACCTCGCGCTCAAGCCCTGATCTGGCCTCCATGGCATGCACACCTCTGTCTCGAGAGCTCCTACCTCTGGTGATCTGCTCCTAAGAATGATCTCTGGCGACCAAAGTACTGATCATCTGATTCAACTTGGGTGGAGTCTTAGTGGGAATGTCTCCACCCGGACATAAAGACTCGATCAATCTCTGACTCTCCGGAGACAGAGCACTATAGAAGTTCCCCATAGTGAATGCATTACTAAAGTCGTGATGGGGACACTTCCAGAATAGACCTGAGTATCGCTCCCAAGCATCTTGCAGCGACTCATCATCTTCTTGGCGGAAATGAGTGATCTCTTGCTGAATCTCTGAGGTCTTAGAGGCCGGACTAGTACCTATGTACGAACTTGTCAGCCAGATCGTCCCAAGAAGCGATGGAAAATGGTGGTTGAGTCTCTAGCCACCTCGTCATAGTACTCGCCAGGGAGTGGGGGAAGAGATGAAGACGGATCGCGTCATCCGGGACGCCATTCAGTTTGAACCCATTGGTCAGCTGCAGGAATCGAGAAAGATGAACCCTCACATCCTCATCTTTGAGCCCATGAAACTGGATGGAGGATGCAATCAACTGGATCCAGCATGGCTTAATCTCGAAATTGTTGATAGGGATGGGCGGATACTGGATGGTGGGGTGGATGTCAGCAATCCGGGGAGTATAGAAATACTCCATAGTGAGCCCCTGGGGAGGAAACTACGGGTTAGCAGCGCCTACCTGTGGAATACCGCCATTAGGTGGGACTTGATTCACTAGAGGAGCCTAGATTGGCATCCCCAAGGCTATTCCAGATTCATGGTGTTCATTCGGTTTTTCTCGTTGTAGACACCACATTTTGTCCGGATATAAAACGAAAAAAAAAACTTGTGACTTGAATTTACACAACAGAAGAGAGTTTTGCTATTCAAGAGTGAGTTTTGCTATTCAAGAGTGATAGTCCGATCTTTCGTTTCAATTTCGTGTGAGAGCATTTGAGTTCGATAATGGGGATTGAATTCGAAAGGAAACTATCCCTAAGTGTATGATTCAAAAATTAGAAATTTGGTACAATCATTAAACATCATTACACATTTACCATACTTTGGTATACAAGAATTTTGAAATTTAGCCTATAAAGGAAGCCCAGCCCAATGCTTCAAAGACTTTTAGACTTGGATATGCAAAAACAAAGGTAGCAGTTAGTTGAAGCACAAGGGCTAGTTTCCAGATTCAAACTAAAGCCCAGAGCTCGGCCCAACAAACATCCAACCCAGCTCGGCCCCTTCTGAACCCAGGTGATTTCCTCATCAGCCCACAAGTCTGCAAACCTGAGTCGGCCCAACCTTATCCGTCAGCCCAACCAACATTCGAATTGTGTGCCAGCCTATCCTGAACAGGCCATGCAAGGTGGAGGCTATTGGGGCAGCCTCAAAATTCGATCTATCAAGAAGAAACACGCATTTCAAGTCCTAACAAAGACTAATGGCAAAGCAACACGTGGCTCACGATTTAGCAATAAGTAGAGCTCTTCAGCTCTTGATTTTGGGGGACGAGGGGAGTGGAAAGAAAGAAAACTACATTACAGAAGTAAACAAGCAGTTTGAGCTCATTTTTTCTTTACATCCGTCTTTTACACAAGATTGACGCAGAAATTTGTGGAATTAAGCAGCAGAAGGCCTTTCTTAAGCTAAGAAACTCCAACCAGGTTAGTGCTCTAACTCTTTCATCCTTTTAATAAGATCTGATCTCATTTTTGTTTTCGTCAAATTCATGCTCAATCATTGTACGGTCGTAATCGTCTATCTACTTGCCCATTTATATACTCGATGGTCGTACTTTGCAAACTATTTTACATTTAAGCACTCTATTTATTTACTTAATACAAGATTTGCGCTTAGCAACTCAATTCTGGCATTAAGCTTCTTTCAATTGAGCATTTACTTGCTTTTCTCATCAATTGATAGACTACTTTATAGCATGTCACGTTGTAAATTTCCTATCTAGCAAATAGTTGGCGAATACTTTATTATCATGTGTAAATGAATGAAAATATTCAAGTAGAGTTCAAATAGACAAAGGTCTATAGAAAGAAGAAAAACAACTCTTCCCTAGGATTACGATCACCCCCGATCTAGATCTAGATCCAGATCCAGCAGAAATCACCCAAACACAATTAAACTTCATATTTCAAACTTCATTTTGGCAAAGTCACAAGCAGAGGCAGTGACTTTTAGTTGCCAAAATTATCAATTTTAGAGCATGTTAATTACTTCCCAGTTATTGAAAATTCCCTTTTTCTTCTTCTCTCATTTGTAGAAAAATCTAGCATCCCAAAACCATCCACCAAGCAACTAAGCATAAAAATTTCGAGATCACCAAACACCAAAATTATCGAACTCATACATAACCATTTTTATTGAAAACCCAGATATGCAATCAGATTCCAAAACCCCAATGATAACCTTTTTTTGTTCAAGTTGCCAAATCACACTAGACTGAGTTTAGAAACCTTACTCAAACTTGGGGTAATTATCATAAATGGTCACAAAACTATTCACTTTGTACAAAATGGTCACAAACCTTTAATTTTGCACGTTTCAATAACATATGTTTGGACTAATAACAAAAAGGTAATTCCGTCCATCTCCATCCAAAATTCCGTTAGTTTGGTACCGTCAGCATCCACATCATCAAAGTAATTAATAAAAAATACAATAAAAACCAATTGAAAAAAGTATACAACTAAGAGAGAAGGATCTCTCTCTCATCCCCTTTCCCTAACCACGATCCATCTCCAGAACCTAACCAGCTGTGACCACATCTAAACCCCCAAAAAATGGAGACCGCGAGTCCGCGACGAAGCCTCATAACGCTGGCAGCGGCCACTCTTCCCCTTCTACGAAAGCTTCCAGTGGCACCAGCAGGTTGTGAAATCGAATCGAACTATCGAAGTACCCAACATTGTTTTGGCGAGGAATCACGGTAGAATCGTCGTCATCCGTCGTCAAAATCAGGACCTGCCTTACAAGCTCCGCATAGAAGACATCATCTACAAGCTGATGATCACCATCACCATAAATCCCACCACCAACATTAACCCTCCACCCCTCTGTGTCGCACGGATTGGGTAATGATTGAGAAAGGAAAAAGGGTGCTGGGTATTTATAACAGAGTTGAAATAGTGACGAGAAAGGGAGTCGAAGAACAATTTGGTTTGAAGGTGCTGCTGTGTTGTCTTCTGGTGGGAGTAAATCAGTTGGGTCGGGGGAGAAGAGGTGGGGGTTGGTGGCAATGGATTGATGGCGATTGAAGAAATTGTCGACGGTGGCATCGCAGT